TTAGCAAAAATGTCTGCAGGCTTTCTATGTGACATTTGCTGTGATACATTTGAGATACAGTAAATTGAACAGTTACCCATTCAGGAGCTCCCAGTCAAATAAGAGATGTAGATAAACAAATGTATCACAGTGGGACAAATGCCTACATGAACAAAGCTAGGAAGGCACACCTGATATCTGCAGTCTCCCACCATTCTACACTCAGCTTCAGGAGCTCAGGGAAGGTTAATATTTAAGTCTGGAACAGTAAGTAGAGATTTGGACCAATGGGAGGCAGCTCAGATGAAGGAGGGAGGGCATTCAAGGCAAGATAAAGGGCTTTGCAAAAAAACCTGTAGGACATTGCATATTTTGACAATGGCAAACGATTTAATGTGCCCAAAGTATATTTTATACAGGTGTAGCAAGAAGTGAGGTTAGAGAAGAAGCAATAGGGAGACTATGAAAAACCTGACATGTCACATGAAAGAGTGTGAACTTTAGGCTGTATGCTATGGCAAGGGCTATAGGCATGGGAGTAAAATGATGATGTTTAGACTGAAGTCAAGAGACTTTTATGAGGGGAAATGGAAAGTGTTTGATGGCTGATAGGAGATAAATGATAGGGAGAAGGAGGTAGTGGAGAGTCTAGGATGACTGGATTTCTGGTTGAATGGTTGTACCATTTATCTGAATAAAAGAATATATAAGGAGGAACAGGTTTGGAGTACCTGAGCGGCATGCAGATAATATTTTAATAAGCAGCATGTGGATTTATATGGATCAGAAACTGAGAACTTTAGGCAAATCACTGAATCTTCCTAAGCCCCCATTTTTCTATCTATAAAATGAAAATAACACCTGTACTTTCTACTTGACAGATTACTAGAAAATATTAAATAATGGATATAGTTTTTAAACAAGAAATTCCTTTAAAAATGTAGGAAATTACTTTTTAAAAGTCACATTCAACTCCTGACCAACCTTCTGCTAGTCCCCAAATTCTTTGAGCCATCCAGATCAACATCCTCCTGTCTCCCATCATACCATGCTCATTCCCAATTTCAAAACCTCATTCATGCTGTTCCTAATGGAAATGTCCTTCCCTCTTCCCAGTCTACCATTTACTGATCCCCTGGAGGTCAGTTCAAGTCTCATTTCTTTGATCTTTGGAGATAACATTAACTCCCCATTTAAGCACTTACTATCTGTCCATGTGTCTGGTGGGAGAGTCCCTTTTAAATTGACTTTCCTTTTTTATTAATTTACTTAATAGATAATATTTTCATATTGTTTAAAATTCAAAAGCTACAGAAGAGTTTATAATAAAAAAAGTCTCTTTTTAAAGATTTTATTTATTTGAGGGAGACAGAGCACATAAGTGGGGGGAGGGCGGTGCAGGGGGGAAAGGAGAAACAGGCTCCCTGCTCAGCAGGGAGCCCAACTCAGGGTTCCATCCAGGACCCAGAGATCATGACCTGAGCTGAAGGCAGATGCCCAACTGACTGAGCCACCCAGGCACCCCAAAAAAGTCTCTTTCTTATGCTTCTACCTTAAGGACCCAGTTTTCTTCTCCCTTAGGCAATTAATATCAGTTTTTTGTGATCCTTTCCCAGACAAGCAAATTAAATCACTGGCTTTCAAGTCATAGTATGGTGGCTCAGGTGACAACAGAGGCCACAGAGAAAGAGTCCAAGCAGTTGAGTTTCTTCAACTTCCAAAACAGCTGCACCTCTAACACCTGTTTTATACATAAGGCTAAAAATTTTGCTAACATTTTAGTGAAGGAGGGGTTCTATCCCTAAGTTTTAAAATCACTAACCTATACCACTCATTTTGTAACTTAATCATGTACTATATGGCATTGTTATTATTGCATATAGCTGTTAGGCCAAAAAAATTATGCAGAATAAATTTGGGAAATGATGATTTAAACACAGTTACTACAGACTATGTGTGTGACAGGATAATTAATGTAGACTTAAACAGTATCTTTAATTCCTGTCCCACCCCCCAACCCAAGAAAGTAGCAGGCCATCCATGTGTTCCTGCTTCAGATGGCTTATGTGTGACCGTCCATCCCTACCATGCTCTGCTTTCCTAAAACCTGAGCTCTGAGAAATTATGCTGGCATGGGAGACAGATAATAAGAGGGGAGCTATGGGCAGAGAAAGAGAAATAAAGGAGTCAAGATTCCACATGTCTGGGGAAGAGCTGGGCATTAGCTTTTTAAAATAAGGTATTACCACATTTGGCATTCCTATTGCTTCTGGGAGGTGGCTAAAACTCTAGGAATAGACTTGGTGGCACCTGTGGAGGAGACAGGACTCAAAGCACTAGGGATATCGGGATAGTGACTCTAACAAAAATTCCATTCCCTTTATGTGGCCCACCAGCCACAGAGTTCTCAAGGGATGAACCTTGAGAGATCAACTACATGGGCTAGGACAATGAACTTCCTCTGAATGAAGCTGCACAAAGGTGGGGATCTCTGGTGTGTTAGCACTACTTAAGCTTTGTGGACCTCTGTATAACCCAAAGGAGGGAAATCTCCAATAATGAACTGAACTTCAACTGCTTACCAGCTCAGTACATAAGGGTTTTGGAATCACATCAAATTGGGTTTGAACTTTTCTCCACGTATCACTAACAGTATGTCCTTGGGGAAGTAACCACTTCTGAGACTAAAATTCTTCATATATAAAACAGTGATAATATTCATAGGACTCATATAAGTTGGTATACACATTAAACACATAAAATGTTTACGATATTTTAGTCATACTAGTCAATCAGTAAATGGCAGCTATTTTAATTTCATTCAGTAATTACTTATTGAGGTCCAATTATGTTATCTGAGATCCTTCTGTTAGGTCCTATATACATAATGGCAAAAATAGATAAATAAATAAAACAGACGTGTTCTAAAATAGCTTACAGCTTAACAGACTTAAAAACTACCCAGAAGCAAGCTAAATGAGGAAAATCTCCCTTTTTTTCCCCCCAAGATCTCAAAGATAATTAGATCCAAAACTGGAGAATAACTTAGTGATCATGCTGAGTGATATTCTTTTTAATCAAACTCAGTTAAGACACTAAAGTAACAAAACAAATTTCCTAGAATGGATCATTATATCAATTTTTAAAAATATTTTTCAGCAACCTCAACATCATTAGAATAAATATAGATTACAAAGTTGAATACATTGACAATAGTCACTGAAATGTTTATACTCTTGTATATTTAATTAAAAAGAGGTCTCAATCATTCATAACCTTCTGACTAGTGGCTTGTGAGTAGAAATTACAGCAATGGAAGTCAAGTCAGTAATGCTCATGGAATGCCATATGCATACATACACTTTATTGTCTTATCTATACATTGATATAGATTCCCCAACTATGAATGAATAATGGGGCCAGAGATCACTCAGCACTCCATAAAAAATACCTTATTTTTTTGATCATCCCCTTTAAGTAATCTGATTCCATTAAAAGTTGGTTTGAAGGAGCTTCTGGGGGCCATATCATTTTTGAGCACCAAACCAATTAGTGATAGTAATTTATTATAACCCATTGAATAAAACAGGAATCCATTAGTTCATACTGGTGTAAATAATAAAAAAAAGGACAAAAAATTTAACAAATATAATAATTGATTCTGGCCAAAGCCATCAATGAATGCTAAACCTAGTATAAAAAAGCTTGATGAGAAAGAGGATATATATATATATATACACACATACACACAGTTTTGAACTATCTCCCCACCCCCATGGGGCACCTAGGTGGTTCAGTCGGTTAAGCATCTGTGTTCTGAGAGCATCACTGTGATTTTAAAACTAGCTGTAAGAGAGATCCAACAGTTACAAAAAGTTCATGGCAGAATTATTGTTTGAATACTTAATTCCACTAAATCTAAAATAGTGGGCTCTTCTTCCAAGCAGTTTCTGTACTTTATCAACATGTTTTAAAGTTGTTGTTTTTTTTTTTCAAAGATTTTATTCATTTATTTGACAGAGAGAGACAAAGCAAGAAAAGGAACACAAGCAGGGGGAGTGGGAGAGGGAGAAGCAGGCTTCCCGCTGAGCAGGGAGCCCGATGCGGGGCTGGATCCCAGGACCCGGGGATCATGACTTGAGCTGAAGGCAGATGATTAACAATTGAGCCACCCAGGTGCCCCTTACAGTTTTTTCACTAAAGGTGAATACTTATCATTTACTTATCTAATTATTTTTATCTTTTCCTCTCTATATCTTTTAATTTCACTTAGATGCAACTAATCAGGAACAAATGAAAAACAAAATTAAGCTATTATAGTCAAAAATAGTAACAAACCAAAAAATAAATGAAGTAGGCCACCGATTAGAAACTTTCTCATTTTGTACCAAAAAAATTTTTTTTTCTTAATATCCTAAAACTCTTAGCTGAAGTGTAAGTTGGCATGCTACCATATACTTCTACAAGACTATCAGTGGATAGAGATGGTTGTGGTATACCACATTTCTTAAGGCAAATCTTCAAAATATCCCAACAGCCAATATCCCAACAGACAATGGTAAGAGCGAAATTGCCTTATTTTTATATTTTGTTGAATTAATTTTGGCCACTTTAATTCAATTAATGTTTATTGACAATGTTATGAAACAGGGATTAATCTAAATGTTGATGGTCCAAAAATGAACAGGCTACTGTACCTACCCTGAAACAGCTCAACATCTAGAACCTGGAGGAAATCATTGACAAATAAGTGCATATAAATGCATACACTGTGAAAGTTACTTTAACAAAAAGAAAATGTCTGGTGCAGTCTGGGTACAAAGAAATGAGTCATCAATTCTCCGTGGAAAAACAGAAAAGGCTTCTCAGAAGAGGTCTCATTCTAAAATTTAACCCCAATTTTGTTCTTATGTAAATACTTATACCAATAACTTCCAAGCTGCATGTAAATATGACTGAAGTTAAGTTACAGCATACTGTATAATTCAAATGCTAACATACATGAATTTTATAATATTTACCTTTACAATTAGTTGATACTTTTGTCTCCCTGAGTAACTTCTCCACCATTTTTGAATAATAGTTGTTACTCTATGTAAATTCCTGGGTAAAAAATATACTTATTAGTATGCTTCCTTGAACGAGATTATTGCTTAAGTTTTTTCTTAGACTGTATTTTCTACAATTCAAGAACTCAAATTCAAAGCCAAATTTTTGTGTACTTTTAAAGGGCAGAGCTATCATTCTGCAATAGAATTAACCATTTCTAGAGGTAGAAAAGGGGGCAGAAATAAATATTCAGTATTCCTTTTGGGCTTATGATTAAACATCTTTAAATTTCAAATATTCTTCAATACTAACTCTTGGAAATATTTTTGAATGTTAAGACTATAAAACAGGTTAAAGGAACACGCTGAAAAATAAGCCAGGCAATATTGATGTGAGTCACCGTTAAGTACTTAGAAATAATTCTTGAGGTCAAGAAACACTTCCTCTTTCATGCTTATATTTCCCAGTCTATCCAAGCTAATGACATGTTAATCTGCTGAATTAAAAAAATACTCTCTTTGCTGCCATGTTCCTAGTTGGTATAGGGGCCAGAAGAGAAACCTCATCTTCCCACTTGGATCTGCAATTCTGGCTCCCCGAGCTAACAGAAGGAACTATACAGTATAATTCCCAGTTCACCATCTGAATGAGTTATTTTGTGATAGGCATTTTCCTCCTCCACCTTATCCAGGGCAATTCTTTTTAGAATTGCGAGAGACTGAAGGAAAGTTTGAGCACTGAAGAAAAAGAACAATTAAGATAGGGAGATCAGCTTTAGTGTCTTTATGATCAGGATGGCAGCATTCTGGTATCATTTGCCCTTATCTATCAACATGTTGGAGAAGACTGGAATAGCTTTCTTTTTGTTTTATTTTGTTTTGTTTTTCCTTTCTTATCAGTCAGTGAATTCATGCTATAAATAAAGTCCAGTCATTTGTCACATCCTATGGAATTGAAGAAAAGAATCTAATCAAGTGTATTTTTAAAAATTAGAGATATAGTTGATATAATTTAGTTTTTTGATATGTAAGAAAAGACCAAAAGAGTTATTTCTTTAAAAAGGACATCATATAATTTATTAACTTCATTATAGGTAAAATAAAAGATTATTTGCAATCAGCACTTACATGAATAAATTACATTTTCTAAGGAGTATATTTTTATGATATATCTGACGTTTCCATGACAAAATCATATACCTGATATATGCCCGAACTTGACATCCTCGAAACCAGCTCTGGATTTTAACTGCTGCATCATTCTCCTTTTTCCTAAATATATCTACAACACTAAGAAGAAATTTTTTAAAGCATTTCATTAGTGGCTAATGTAATTTTAAAGCAAATCAACCTGTTAAACTTAACCTTTAATTTCTTCCAAAATGATAATTATAATTCAAATGTCATTTTAAATAAAATTAAAATACTAAATAAAGCGTTTCAGAAATCATGAGCTATATTTTTAAAATTAACCTTTCTCTGAGAGGCCATGTGCTTTCAACAGCTTTACTTTTTTTTATTTTTATAATCACCTATTTTGCAACTAATTAATTTACCAGTGATTCTTACAAGGAAATAAAGCAACATGCATTTTTTCATTATTTTAAAAACATAATTTCTTGAATTTACTATTTGAATGCCACTACACATATCATGCAAGATTAAAATACTTGAATCAGTTAAATGAACTGCCTCTAAGTAAAATGAATCCATCACAGAATGCCTATTCTAGATAGAATTCTCAGAAACTCCATTTAAGTTAAAGCAGGGGCAGGGCCATAGGCTTGTAAAAAGACAAGAAATTCAGTTGTTAGGTTTTACTGACTTACAGCAAAAAAAAGGTTTAGTCAAGACAGATCGCCATTTTAATTTTACCAGTCATTATAATTCTCCCTCCCCATCCCTGTTAGATAAAGTGATATTGCTTGAGGCAACTACTATGCACCACAAAGTAATTTCTTTCCTAGAATGCTGGTTGGCACCTAATTAGCACTTTATGCTTGCTGAATGAATAAAGAATGACTAACCATTTATTTCTTAATTTTTTTTTAATTCCCTCAAAATAGTGTTTCCTTGGACAGGTTATTTTTTTGTTGTCATCATACGCTAGATTAAATACATAGATTTCATTAAATTTATATATTATAATTAGAACAAAAACAGAAGGGGGAAAACCCTCAAACAATAAAATTCTTAAACAATACTATGAAGTTGGCTAAGAGAAAGAAAATAGGATGAGCAGTTAAGCTGTCAGTGGCAAAAAGCTGGAGAAACAAGTGGAAGGATTTTAGTTCTAGATAAGCAGGAAAGAGAGTTACCTGAAAGCCTGACTCTAAAGGACTCACAAAAGCAAAAAGAAAAACAAAAATTATGCATCAGTCAGTGATCCAGATGTGAAGAGTAGTGGAGAGAATTCACACAAATCAGTAAGGTTAAGAGGCACTCTAGACAATTAGGAAAAGAAAAGAAAGTTCGATTATCACTGTGCGTTTGTATTATGCGTACAAAATTATAGCAGAGACATGTATAAACCATATTCTTGGTTCAAATGATTGTGCTCCAAATGGTAGAGAGAACAGCTTGAAGTCCTTCACTCCACCGAGCCTTCCCTGACTCCCCAAACCACAGTAGGGCTTGCCATTGTATACCCTCTTAGCTCTTCACAATATTTAAAACAGTCATGCATCATGATTGTTTGGTGATGGTCTTTCCACTAAACTTTAAAATCCAAAAATCAGCAATATTACCCACTTTGTCCCACATGCATTCCCAGTGGCTCCAGAGGTAACTGATACTTCTCCTAACAGTCAGTCTTTGTCTTACCAAAGCTGCTTTCTCTCGGGGAATGGCATGCCTCTTACAGACATATTTAATCCCTGTGAAGACTGCCACTCAGAAGCTTCCCTCACTATACCTACCGACAACATTAAAACATTATCCCCATTTGACAGAGGAAGATATTAAGGGAGACAGAGGTGTAGGGATTTGTCCAAGGTCACATCTTAATAAATGTCAGAGCTGAAATTTGATCCTAGATACTCTGGCTCCAAAAGCTGGATTCCTAACCATCACTGCACCTAAAGGAGAAGAGAGGAAAGAAGGATAAAAACAGGAGATGGGAGGAAAGTAAAAGGGGCGGGGGGAAAGGAAAAAAATTAAAAGGAAGACTGCATGTAAGCCATTTTCAAATATAATACTAAAATTCTGTCATAAAAGAGCACCAATCTCCTTAAAACAATAAACTGAGACTAAGATGTGAAAAAACATCAACATCTATAGTAAAAAACCAAAAATTTCAGATATACCAGGTATGGGTGAGAATGTAGTGCATAATATTGCTAGTAAGAAATAATTCAGCATTTAAACACATACAGAAAATTTTCATTTATATAAATGAAAAACTCACAAAACTTTAGGATGTTAAATAAGGAAAGAAAAAAGGTAGCCCAATTATAAGAGTCAGTATTTTGCAGCATCATAGAAGTTAATGGGAAGGTAGCAGGAAGGGAGACCATGGTTGAGCAGTACCAAATGCTCTGAAGAAGTCATGAAGACAAGATCAATGTTTCAAGGAGTTGCAGGGCTAGAGGGAATCTTTTGTTTTTCTTTTAAAATCTTACCCTAGCCAATAAGAAGATATGATCGTGCAAGATCTAAAATGTCATTAGAGCAAAAATAGAAAAGATACAGTAACACAATATCCAGATCAGGCAATTCAAAGATGACAGAGTGTGAGGAAGGAAAGAATAATTTTATTCAATAAGGCTGATGTGAAGTAAAATTCATGATAATGAGATAAAACAGCTTTTTATGGGTATTTAACCTAACAATATGATTATAGATCTGTTTCCCTTGTTTTTAATATACTCTATTTAAATTACTGAAAATGCTTGTCTTTCCTACCCCACCAACAGTCAACAAGTGACTACCTTTCAAAACAGGGAGGGGCGCCTGGGTGGCTCAGCAGGTTAAGCATCTGCCTTCAGCCTCCATAGGGCTCCCTGCTCAGCGGGGAGTCTGCTTCTCCCTCTGCCCCTCCCCCTGCTCCTGCTCCCTCTCTATTAAATAAACAAATACAAATAAATAAATAAAATCTTAAAAAAAAAAGGGAAGAAAAAAATATTCAAATAAGATATACAGATACACCTAATTATTTTAAACTCATGTATAGCTTGAACCTACACTTTACTTATTACTGTCATTAGAAATGCAGAATAAGCAATCAAATCATCTGTTTTGACTTTGTTTTCTAATTTCTCCTGGTAATAATGCTAACATGTAATATATAGTCAAGAAAATTAAATTCTCTCTTTTTGGAGCTCTGAACACCAATGTATATAAATATAAGCACAGATATAGTAATAAGAACTATACATCTTAATTAAAGGGAAATATTTTAAAAATAACTAGTAGTTAACTTACTGTTAAGTTTTAATTTATATGCTGTAATTTGACTCCCATACACATTTCTCTATTGCCCTTTTTTTAACTGCTTAAAAATGAAATTTACAGATACTTGGGATACCACTGGGATGCTGAATACTCATACAATATGTCATGAACTGCTAGACTTTTTATGTTTAAAATGAAAAATGTGGGTAACACTTTATTTTTAATGGTATATTAATTAGTTCCAAATTACAATGAAAATCCTATAGCAGTGAATAAAATATGACATCTACGTGAATTTGAAATAAATTTATTATGATCAGTATTATCACAATGAATACTAAATGAATTAATAATGATGAAAGACCAAAAGTATCACCATGAATGTAATAAAACATTGAAAAAAGCTGGAAGTTTGCAGTCACTTCATCATCAACTAGAAATAAGTACTATAACCCTGGATAACACTATATTCATGTGTATCATTAGTGGCTGGAAATTAATTGACAATAAATAGAAAATGAAAAAATGTGTAGTTAAAGATCTTTCCAGTAATGTGCAAAAAATACACATTTTACACATCAACATACTGTTTAGTCTGACCTATGTGTACTAGCTATTGAATAAAAACTAGATTAAAAAACCAATCATCTTGGCTTCTCATTATCATATGACTTTTAACTACTTTAGATACTAGGGATAAAATTCCAATATTAGCTGCCCTATATTATAAAATATATTAATGTGCTATTATAAAGTATATTGATGTGTAAAATGTTTTTGCTTATCACTTCACTATTAGGGCTCAAGGATGTAAAGCTTCTTAAAGGCAGAAATTATGTTTAATCAATACTTTGTGTTTTAATTATCACTCATGTGCCTAATAAGAGGTCAATAACTAGTTGAAAAATAGAACTACATTTTAGAATCTAGAAGCCATGCTTTGTTTTCATTAATAGTCCTCATTATTATTATTATTTCACAGCTCAATGAATAATGAGTTATAAATACATATGTATTAGATCATAAAGTAGGAATTAACATGCAGATTTATAATGCATTTGCAAAATGTTTGATTATTTACTTTTCTACATCTTCTTTCTACCTTCTCTTCATTTACTGAACAACTAAGTCCTAAGGAAACTGGCAGTGGGCAAGGAAACCAGCAATCTGTGCAAGAGGGTTGGGAGTGTTGGGGGATGGGCAGTCACAGTGGCTCAGCTAAGCCTGTGTAGGCTAAGATGGGCATCCACATGTAGGGGTGGCCTGGGTAGGATGTCACAATCTAAGGACAGTGTTCCCGTGGACAGAAGGCCTAACTCTGGGTGTCAAGGAAAGGTGAGGAAAGGTTCCACAAGGATGGGTAGCAGAACAGGGAATAAGAACCCAAGAATGATGGAAAGGGTATCCAAGTTGGTGAACCAGTGATAATTCAGCATGGAGAGGTAGAGCCTTCACTCCGTGAAAAGGGAATCCATAAAAGAGAGAATGGTTATGGTGACAGAAGTTTGGTTACGTACAAAAGGATTGATCAAATAAGTGAATATATTAAGGATAATGAGAGCCAGGTTCTGCAGTGTTAGAAAAGGAAAGGGAGATAAACTAGAGTGAATCCTGTGGTGTGGATCTGAAATGGAATTGTCAATGTAAACTCATGGATTTCAATATATACATGGATGGATGAATGGATGGATGGATAAAGTACAGATGTAGACTGCATGCAAATGCATACACACACATCTTTTCTAGCTCTGTCCACTTGAGAGAGTCTGAGAGTAGCAACACCCAATGGCATGGGCATCCACTAAAAGAAGCAAGGGTTCCTTGAAGAAATGGATGACTCCAGAGCTGGGGTGGGAAAAGAAAAAGATGAGCCTGGAACATTTTTTGTGTGTGTCAGA